ATGTTCAAGGAGGTACTTTTTTTTTTTTTTTTTTTTTTAGACAGGGTTTCACTATGCAATTTGGGCTGGCCTTCTGCACACTTTTGTAGTTCCCAGGCTGGTCTGGAACTCACAGAGATCCTCTTGGAGGCAGCTCCCAAGTGCTGGGATTACTGGTGTGTGCTGCCATGCCTGGTTCTGGGGCCACATGGTGGTCGCCGGCATTGAGACAGCGTGTCTGGGGATCCAGGACCCGGGATCAAACTGGGGTCCTTGTGTTTGCTAGGTAGGTAGGTGCTTATGCCTCTGAGCTATCTCTCCAGCCCCAAGATTGTAGTCTTTTTTTTTTTTTTTTTTTTCTCAATACTGGTGATTGAACTCATGATCTTGTGCTTACCAGGCAGGGACTTATGCCACTGAACTATATCCTCGGCCCTTGGAAAAAGTTTTTATGTATTAAAAGTACCTCAAGGTTCAAAGTATAATGGGCTTATACAGCTCTGTGTGTTTCTTTCTTTCTTTCTTTCTTTCTTTCTTTCTTTCTTTTTTTTTTTTTCTTTTTTTAGTAGTTTCATCTTTTTTTTTCAAAATTTTATTGGTGTTTCTTAATTATAATGTGTAATTTCATTTATAATTATAATTGTCTAATTTCATTTATAATTGTAAATGTGAATGTTTATGATTTTTAAAATATGAAATAAATTACTGTAGGACATGAGAACATGATTTATTAAATTTCTGTTTCAGAACATTCATACTGAATGGTATAGTAAATAAAATTACGATTTTATTTATAGGGCAAAACTGTTAAAGTATCCTATAGATCAGGAATCATTCTTTGGGAATTTTCCTGAACTTTGAAATTTTATTTTATTTTTTGAAATTTTATTTATTTTTTATTCAGGTGTCTGAGGAGTCAAAGCTGACTTTGGATGAATCATGTGACCTTGATGTTGAAAATGAAGAAGTTTTAACTTTGCAAGCGACTCTGGAAGCACTTAGCCTCTCTGAATATGTTAGCACTTTTGAAAAGGAAAAGATTGATATGGAATCTCTGGTATTGATTATAATTTGATTCATTTTTGTTTATTTATTTTTCCTATGGGATTGAAAATTAAGAATGGCTTAAACAGATCAAAGTTTATTCCAGACAAGGTAAAGATTTATGTGTTGTAAATATTTGAGCAAGACATAGTTAGAAAATATGTGAAAGCTTTTGTAAATATGATACAAAACCCAGAATCCATAAAAGACAACAGAGTACATAGCAGGCGGCATCGTAAGTGACATCTAAAGGCTAGTGATAGATTAGGAACACATGTTGCAGGCAGAGGCTTATTTCCTTAATAGTCAAAGCTTATACAAAGCTCTTAGTAAGAAAGCAATAGGTAAACAGGAAAATAGTATAAAAAGATGATTTGTAGAAAAATAACAAGTGGCTTCTTACCGTATGAAAACTTGTAAGAGAAATGCAGATTAGGAATGCAGTAATTATTTTTGACCTGTCAGCTTGAGGAAAGTAGATTTAGTAATATACTGTATGGCCAAGATAAAGAGAAGTGGGCACTATTGTATATCGCTGTTGAGACTATAAATTGGTAGCTTAAATTGGAGTATAAGTTGGTTTTCTTATTTATAATCGATGTAAAACCTTTATGAATAGCAGTTTTGTAGTATCTTTTAAAATATAAAAATTATATGCCTTTTGCCTCACCAGTATTACTATCAGGAATATTTTCTATAGAAGAATATTCACATAAGATCTACAAGGATACTCACTGAGGCACTGTATAATACAGTGAACCTCTTCAGCCGTCTTCAGCATCCACTAGTAGGGCATTTATTAAATGGCTTGTGGTACATGCATGTGGCGGAGTACCACAGTTGTTTAATGAGTGAAGCTGTGTCAGAGGAATTGATCTCAGATATATCATGTGAAAAGAGTGAAGTTCATGCTGTGTGTATGTAGAGTACACACATACAAAAACAGGTAGATGCTATGTACCCATAAGACCCCTCTGCAAGGAGAGGAGAGAATTGGGTAGTAGAGACAGGAATGGAAGGGAGAAACTTTATTGTAGGCTTGACTATAGCTTTAGCATTTGTATGCCATACGTACAGATATTTTCCATTAAAAAAATATCAGAATGTGTTTGGTGTAGAGGCCTAAGATTTGTAGCTTAAGCAGATTGATTATTTAAAAACTAAAAAAAAAAAAAAAACCTTTTTAAAAGCTAACTGGCTCTTAAATTGTTTTAGATGGTTTTTATAATTTGCATAATATAATTCTGTTCATGTATTTCTAGATTAATTGATGTGCTTGTTTTAAAGCTTATGTGTACAGTTGATGACTTGAAGGAAATGGGGATACCTCTTGGACCCAGAAAGAAGATAGCCAACTTTGTAAAACTGAAAGCAGCTAAACTGGTAAAGTTCATGTCTGTGCTCAAAGCCCAGCACTCGTTGTGTTGACCATCTCATTTTTGAAGTTTTATTTATTTATTTATTTTTATTGCGGCACCTTGCCAGGCAAGTGCTTATTCTACTGAGCTATCTCCCCAGCCCTCATTTTTAGAAGTTTTTAGAAAACCACTGCCTGTAGTTAGGTAAGGTAGTTTGCTTCTGCTTAGGACACAGTAATTAATAGAGGTGATGACAGCGTAGCCTCTGGGCTTCCTCAGGACTGATTGTAAATCAAAATAGGCCGACTGACTGACTGACTGACTGACTGACTGACTGACTGACCATCCAGGATTTTTCGGAACCAAGGGAGCTCCTTGAACAAAGTTCACACCAGGTAAACTTTGTAAGTTTCACACCAGGTCTTTGAGGATTTCTTAGTACAAAATTTGCGTATCTGGGAGATGGCTCAGTGGAATAAGCACTTCCCTGGCAAGCACAAGGGCCTGAGTTCAATCCCCGGTTCCACAAAATTTGGTGAATTTCTGGGTGTAAATGAGACATTTGTCCTGTTCCTCAGGTTGACCACTTAAATTAGCTACACTTCTGAGCAATTGGCTTAATTTCACTGGTCTGTATTTTCCTTCATTTCTACATGGGAATGATGATTCTCATAGTTTGGAATGAGCATGAAATATGCACATGATGCTTCACACTCAGCAGTAGCTCACTTTCTCTTTAGTGTTCACCTTTTAGAGAGGTAAGGACATACATACTAAAATATCATTAAACAAACAAAACAAAAAATATTATTTAAAAAGCATTTAAAATACAAAAACTGAGGAAAGCTTACTGGTTTTTTATTATTTTGAGACAGGTTCCCTCTCTACAGTGCAGGCTGGTCTTGAACTCATGGCAATCCTCCTGGCTTAGCCTCCTGAGTGCTGTGATTATGTGTGCAGCACCATGCCTGACATATTTAACTTTATTGATTACGTTAAATTTATAGAGACTGTGATTGCTTAATTAGAAAAATTGTGCAAGCTTGGTTTATTTTTGTGGCAGTAGGTATTTAATTCAGGGATGTTTTGCCACCAACCTATATTCTCCAACCCCTTTTATTTTATCTTGAGATAGAGTTTAGCTAAATTACTTGAACTGGCTTTGAATTTGGGATTCTGCTACCTTCTTTTCTCAAGTAGGTGGGATTATAGGCATGTGCTGTCACTATGCTGTGTTTCTTTGTAACGTTATCATTGTGTTCTTTGATGGCTCTTTGTTCTTTTTTCTGTATTTATTTTTAGATGGTGTCTCTGTAGTCTGGGCTGGTCTTTGTTTTATGTTATGGTTTGTGTATAGGTGTCCCACCTCCCAAAACCTCATGTAGTCATGGAACGGCTTCTGGAGTTTGTAATTGGTTATTGTGGGTGTGGATGCTGTACCTTCCCTGGGGCAGGTAGTTTGCATTATAATGTGAGGTGGAAAGAGAAGCTGGCTGCTTGAGCTGCTGCTACTCCTCCTTTTGTGCTCTTGCTCTTTGCTGCCTGCCCTGAAAGGTTGCTTTCTGCTACGTGTTGCTCTGCCTTGGACCCAGCTGAATATGGACTGAAACCTCCAGTAACTATGAGCTAAATAAATCTTTCCTTCATTTTGAGTGTCAGGTATTTGTCCCAGCTACAAGAGAAGGGTAACTAAGACATTTTGTTTTTCTATTTTGAGACCAGATCATACTATGTAGCCCAGGCTGGCCTTGAACTTGCATTGAGCCTCCTGTGTCAGGTTCCTGAGTATTGAGATTACAGGCGTACACCACCACTTCTGGCCAGGCTGGTCCTTAATTTGAGACACAGCCCAAGTTGGCCTCAATTTTCACTCTCTCTCTCTTTTCTTTTTTTTGGCAGAACTGGGGATTGAACTCAGGCCCTTGCACTTGCCAGGGAAGCACTTATTCTACTGAGCCATCTCCCCTGCCCTTTTTATTATCTCTCTAACAGGATGTTTTTCTACAATTCCATTATTATTGCCTGTTTATTTGATCTGTCTGTCTGTCTGTCTGTCTGTCTGTCTGCTTGCCTGCCTGCCTGCCTGCCTGCCTACCTACCCACCTACCTATTTTTGCAGGACTGGGGATCAAACTCTGGACTTTGTACTTGCCAGGCAGATTTACATCGCTGAGCTATCCCCAACCCTGCCTGTTATTATTAATGCCTAAATCTCTAGTCTTTCTATAATATTGAGGTAGCATGGGTTTTAAATTTTTTTATTAGCACATGATTATGTTCCTCATGGAGAGTTGACACAGATACACAACACATCTGAGATAACATGTTTTATAGTGATAGTTGGGTGTTCAACTTTTTCTCAATATTCTATTAAGAAATTTTGGTATTTCACAGGAACAGAAGAAAACATCAGAAAAGAAGGCAGTTATGGCATCTACAATGAAAGTACAAGAGAACATTCCAAAAGCTAAAGAAATACCCTCTCTTTCCTCAGAAACTAACGAGTCAAAGAGGAAACTTCCAGTTGGTGCTTACATTTGTTCTTTACATGTTGACTATGAGTCTTTTGAAGTTGGCACAGGACAGGTAAGTTTATATGGACCAGGGCTACATGTTCAGTGTTGGAATCGTATATATCTTTATATTGACTTGGTTTTATATTTGGCTTGACTTGATTTTTTAAAATATTTATATAACATTGTGGCTGAGCAAAAAAACCCTGATTTTTAAAATTTTTTTTTTTTATTTTTTTGAGGCAAGGTTTTACTATGTAACCCAGGCTTGGCCTTGAACTCACAGTGCTTCTACTGCCTCAGCCTTCTGCTTGCTGGGATAACAGGCAGGTACCACCCATGTGCAGCTGATTTTTTTTTTTTTTGGTGGAACCGGGGATTGAACTCTGGCCCTTGTGCTTACCAGGGAAGCACTTATTCCACTGAGCCATCTCTCTGGCCCCTTGATTTTCTTTTAGTAAAAACTGTATGCTTTTTATAATCTTGAGAATAAGAGATTGGACATACAGAGAACATCTAGCTTTTGAAGTTGTTTTTATTTTAGTTTTTCTACAACTCATAATTTTTCAGCATTAGTCTTAGGACCACTAGTAATAGAATTATGTACAATTAGAAAATTAAGTATAGAATGTACCTGAATTTCTGTGAGAAATCTGCTGTATTCACTCACGTTTTCTAGTATTCAGAATTCTTACCTTGAGGAAAAATTTGTATAAAAATTAATCAGGTAGTTGAAATTAACTACATTTAATAATATGCTTTAAAATACACCTCACTGGCTTAGAAATATTACAGTTCTTGTAGACTATGTTACTTTCAACCTGTTTGCAGTTGTTCATATAGTGTGAGGATTCATTGCCATTAAGAGGGTTCATGGAGGCTCAAATGGAACTTACCGTTTGATTATATGTTTGTTCAATCATAAACTCTTGGGCCAGTGAGATAGCTCAGTGGCATAGCACTTGCCTGGCAAGTGCAAGGTCCCAAGTTTGATCCCGGGTACTGGAAAAAAAAAATCTTAATGATTACAGTTTGAAATGTCTATCTTTTTCAAATATGAACAATTTTGGCAGACTGACAAATAAAAGGTATTTCATTACCCCCTTGTGAAGGCTGAGTGTGTAGAAGAGCTGTGAGCCACTCTGACCCTCACTGCCTACCTGTTTTTTAGATGGGGTCTCCTCTATAAGCTCTGGTCATTTCCTTTTAGTGTTAGGATCACACAGAAAACTAAACCTAGCCTAATGGGTCCAGTTAGGAAAATTTTAAGAACTGATTTTACTTGACCTGGTTTGAGTCCATTCTGGACCAATTTGTGGTCCGGGTTAATGTACCATAGGTTGATTGACCCAGTCCAGGTCGCTTGCCCCCTCTGTGGTAGGTGGGTCAAGGTGGGTGGACATGATCTGTTAATCAAAGGGGTCCTGGCCCTCCAAGCAGTAGCCACTAGGTAGGGTGGAACACAACTGTGTCCCAGTACTCTTGAGAGGCTAAAGTAGGAGGGTGGAGCCCAGCTTGGGCAATTTAGGGAAACCCTGTTTTAGAATTAAAAAATTTAAAAAGGACTGAGGATGTAGCTCAGTGCAAAGGCCCTGGATTCAATCCTTAATATCCCCCCAATAAAAAGATTACATTTCCAAATAAAGTTAAATTCTGAGGTACTAGTAATTAGGCCTTTAATATACTTTTTTTTTTTTTTTTTTGGGAGGAAATATAGTTTAGCCCCTTATACTGAATGTGTAGGTAATTTGTAGTATTTCTTTCTTATTTTTTTCTTGGTTTGCTTTTTGAGACTAAGTCTTGCTTAGGCTGGTTTTGAACTCACTGTGTAGGCCAAGCTGGCCTCCTAGAACTTGCATCCTCCTGCCTTAGGCTCCACAGTGCTAGAATTACAGGCATGACCCACACCCCTGGCATTTTAAAAATTCTTTTAAGTAATCTATTGGTAAACATTTTCAAAACAATCTTGTGCATTTAAAAAAATTCTTTCAGTTAAGTTGGGAGAAGTAAGGTTGTGGGGCCAGAGGAGGTATACATGAAGATTCTTTTAGTTACTGCTACTTATTTCTGGAAGGTATCCGTTTGTCTACCACTAGATGTTTAAAGGCCTCACTCTTCACTGGCAGTTTATCAGGTTATGCCTCTCACCTGTTCCTTGCCAGTACTGGTGGTATCATTTCTGCTATTTTTTTTAAAAACAATTTTTTTTAAGTTCTGGAGATCTGTCACGGGCCTCACATGTTGAGCAAGTACTGTACCACTGAGCTACACTTTCAGCCCTTAATGTACCTTAGAAATATGTGGTAGTCTCACTCTCATATTTTATTATATAGAGAAAACTTTTTACATGAAAGTAGATCTTTAGGGGTGGAAAACATAGCTTAGTGGTGCAGCACCTGCCTGGTAAGAACAAGGTCTGAGTTCAGTTTCCAATACCAAGAGGAACATAGATTTTTAATCTTTTAATACTTCATTTATGTTTCTGATAACCTTACAGGAAAATTGGTATCATGTTTTCCTTTTTTTTCTTCGTCTCCCCCTTGTTCTATTCCTCTCCCCCTTCCTTCTCCACTGCCTTTTTTCCCCCTTTCCTTCTATTGGAGCCTGAACACAGGGCCTTGTACTTGCTCTGCCACTGAACTACATCCCTAGCTCCCCTCACTGCCCCCCATTATTTTAATTATTTAAAATTTTTTTATTGATTTGTTTTATTTGGTATAGGGTCTCACCCTGCAGTTGGATTCATAGTGATCGTCCTGGCTCAGCCTCACCAGTGCTGGGATTACAGCTGTGTATCACCATGCCTGGTTTCGGTGGCCAGCACGACATGTGGTACCAGGGATTGAACCTGGGTCCTTGCACTTGCCAGGCAGGTGCTTAGACCACCAAGCTGTCTCCCCACACCTCCGCCTCATTGTTTTTAGTGACAAGGTCTTGCAAAATTGCCCAAATTTAGAACCCTCCTGCCTCAGTGTTTCAAGCAGCTGGAATTACCAGCATGTACCATCATGCCTGGCTGACATTGAATTTCTTTGAGCATTCAAGAGGTTAGATGTCATCTCTGATGCTTCTAAGGCAGTTTTCTCTTATAAAATGCTAAGTGTGCCTGTTTCTATTGAATTTCTGTTTTTACTGATTTTTATTTATTTACCAATTGAAATGTATAGAAATATTTTTAAATGTAACAGTACAAGGTAAATACAAAAAGCATTAAGGGCGGGGGAGATGGCTCAGTGGAATAAGCACTTCCCTGGCAAGCGCAAGGGTCTGAGTTCAATCCCTGGTTCTGGAAAAAAAAAAAAAAAGCATTAAGTACAAAATTACACAGATACACCATTAGCATTGACTCAAAACATGCAGAAGCTATATTAATTTGACACTATTCTTACTACAAATTGACAAGGCTTACAATGACGAAAAAGGCAGTTCTCTAACAAGAATATTTCTTGTTATATATTTCACTGAAAAAGATACCCAACCTCCTAAGACAAAAACATGAAATTGAAGGGGAAAAATCAGTTCTGTAATTACTGAAAATTTCAAAACACCTTCTTCAGTATTTGACAGCTAAAGAAAGAAAAATCTGTAATGAAACAGTTAAATTAACAGCATGCCTCAAGTGGAGCATTATACTGTGTGCACAAACAGTGAGTACACCATCCTCTCAAAATTGTGAGAAATACCCAAATGGGCCATGTTACTAACTGTAATGAAGACCTTCACGTAGTTGAGGAACTAGAAATCCTGTGAAGTAACGTCTCACATTATGTTGGAGTGAAACCAGAAACTGACAGTGAAAACATACCTAGAATACACTAATTTTTTTTCTTGCTATTTACCTTTTATTTTTGTATTTTAATCATATATTAAATTTTTCATATAAAAGAAACCATACAGTGTTTTAAGTTTTTGTCTGACTTCACTTATTATGGTCTCAAGATACATCCATTTTCTACAAGTGCCTCAAGTTTATCCTTCATTATAGAAGAGCAGTATTCCTTGGTGTATAAATGCCACATTTTCTTTGTTAGTTCATCTGTTGATGGACATATAGGCTTGGAAACCCAAGACTTAGCTATTATTAATTGTGCTGCTATAATCATGGGTATGTATACTACGATGTCTTCAGCTCTTTTGGGAATGTATATAGAAGGGGAATAGCTGGATCATACGGACTTTCTATTATTTATTTTTTAATGTATTTAGTATGGAGTCTACAGGGTCTCACTACACAGATCAGACTTGTAGTGATCCTGTTGTTTTCAGCCTCCCAAACACTGGGATTACAGGTGCGTGCCACAATGCACAGTCTGCGTCACTGTCTCAGTGCGGGGGCGGAGCCGGTATGCATGCCAGGGATCAAACCCTGGTCCCTGCATCTGCCTAAGCAGGTGCTTTAATCCGCTGAGCTATCTGGCTGGCCCTTCTATTTTTAAGTTTCTCCATATTGATCTCCACAGTGATTGTATCAGTTTATACTGCCACCAACAAGAGAAGGATTCCTTTCTCCCCACAGCCTTCGCCAGCATTTGTTATTGATTGATTTCTTGGTGGTAGCCATTCTTCCTGGAGTGAGATGGAATCTTAATGTTATTTTAATTTGCATTTATCAGATGGCCAGTCATGATGAGTATTTTTTCATGTGTTTATTGACCAGTTTTCCTTATCTGAGAAGTGTCTATTTCAGATGCTCCCACCCTTTTTATTAGATCTTTAAATTTGGGTGTCTAATTGTTTGGAGTTCTTTGTATATTTTAGATGTTAGTCTTTTGTCTGAGTAATAGTTGGCAAAAATGTTTTCCCATTCTAGGAGTCTTTCAGTAGGTTTTTGGGCATTCTATACAGAGAATCATGTCATTTACAAATAATGATAACACTTTCCTTACCTATGCATGTCCTTTTTCTTTCTGTTGCTTAGTTGTTTTCTCTATTGTTTTGAAAACTGTTGAACCAAAGCAGTGATAGCAGACATCCTCTTGTTCCTGATTTTAGAGGGAAACAGCTGTTGGTTTGTTATAGATACTTTTTATCAGATTGAGGTAGAGACTTGTTTCTTAAGTTTTTTTTTTTATCATGAATAATGTTGGATTTTGTCAAGAATTTTTGCTGTATTTATTGAGATGATTATGTGATTTTTCATTGCTTATAGTTATGTGATAAATTGCATTTATTTTTACTAAGACTTTTATATATTAATGGTATTTGTTCTTTATTTTATATATTGGCAGATACTTTCTCCTGTTTGTAATTTTCTTTTTTCCTCCTTTTTTTTGTGATAGAGCAAAAGTATAATGCAAATATAAGGGCAAACCTAGGATTGTGAAGCTTTCACTGTTAGGAGGCAGCCCAGTTAGTGTAGTAGAAGGAATTAGAAAGGGAAATGGGAATGTTGGGTCTAAGTCTTTATTCTCTCACTGGCGTGTGAGAGGTAAGTCATTTTACCTCTCTGAGCTTGGCTGTCTTTATCTGAGTTTTGCCTTTTGTCTCTTGGTACGTCTGTTGAGCACATGGATTATGCCGTTAATTGTTCTTTGCTCTCAAAACACTAAAATGATGTCTTTTTCCTGCCGTAGGAGAAAAAGTAACATTTGCAAATTAGAGTACTATGCAAGTGGTCTTCTTAAAGACTATTTTCCACCTACTTAAAATGAACTGTTTTGGAACAGATAATTTTATTGATAGAAGGAAACTTGCATTAGATACAGAAGGTGGATGTTATAATAAAAATAATACATACGAGATACCTAAAGGTCTGCTAAGCTCTGTGCTAAGCCTTTATGTGGTTTTGGCTAATTTTTTCCTCTGCCTTGAATTTGGTATTGTTGTAATTCCTTGTTTTATAGATGAAGAAACAGGCAGAGGTAAGAGAGGTTAAGAAACTTGCCCAAGGACATGCAGTATGGGGTAGATTCAGACTCAGGCAAGATGACTCCAGATTCTGCAGTTCTAACCACATTTATAACAATATAAAGACAACAATGCTTGTATACTATATTTATTATACTGCATAGTAAATAAAAATATAATCAGAATGTACTAAAGTATGAAGATTTTTAAAGAGAAATTGTTTTAGTCCTTTAAGTTAATAATAGCTATCCATGAGGGGCATCATCAGTGTTTGGAGACACAGTAATGTAGCACACACTTGTAATCCCAGATGCACAGAGGCTAAGGCAAGAGGATCACTACTTTAAGCTCAGCCTGTATAATTTAGCAAGCTCTTGTCTCAAAATAAAAAATAATAAGGCATAGAGATGTAGCTTAATGATAGAGTGCCTGTGGGTTCAATCCATAATATATCTGCTCATCTCTTTTTTTACTGCTCATCTCTACAAAAAACAAAAAACAAAACAATAAAAAGAAAGTACAAACAAAAAACTTGAAAATTCAGGACATTGTATTTAGTGCTCTTGAAGTGATCATCTTTTATTGGTATTTATTTTTTTCCAGGTTTCTGTTGTTCACAACTCATTAGACTTTGAGCCAGAGATTTTCTTTGCTTTGGGATCTCCAATTGGTGTGTTTCTCACTATTCGAGGAGTTGATAGGATAGATGAGAACTATAGGTTCCCTACTTGTAAAGGATTCTTCAATATATATCATCCGGTGAGTGAACTAAATTGACTTTCTGTTTTGAAGATGAAGAACCTGTCCTTTTTATCTGACTAGTTTCTCAGATTCTTATTTCTTGGGAATTAATATTGATCCTGATTTTGTAAGGCTCAGCTCTCTTCCTAAGAGATATGGTTCCCTACTTTCCAGTAAACTTTTCTCTAGAAAGCTGTTGTTCAGAGAAGTAGTTCTGTTGCTTTCCTTGCAAAGAAATTTTACCACGAACTTGAAAATCCACAGATGCCAATATTTGAATAATGGGAAAAAGCCAAACTCTTTGATTTGCTGGTTATCTATTTTCTTACCCAACTAAAGCATATAACTGAAGCAGCTTTGCATCAGTTTCCATCTCTGTATTTACAGCTTGACCCAGTGGCATATAGATTAGAACCTATGATTGTTCCGGATTTGGACCTAAAAGCAGTTCTTATTCCACATCACAAGGGTAGAAAAAGACTTCATTTAGGTAAGAAATGAATATAAAACTTGTTTCCTTCTTGTCATTTTGTAATAGATAATTTATGAAATTTTAATACTTAATTCTTATAGAATTAATGTGCTTAAATGTTTACTATATTCAGAACTCTTATTTTTAGTAGGAATTTGGAGAAGCTATAAAGTTATGAATGAATTCTGTCTCTGATGGCATTGTAATTATCAAGTTAATTAGAAATGGAGAGTTGGTAATAAGGTGAATAGGATATAAAATTAGATTTTAATAGTTTGGTTATAAGTTGAAATTGGAAAGAAAAGTAGCCTTTTAATTAGTGATAAAATTCTCTTTTTTGGCGGAACTGGGGATTGAACTCTGGCCCTTGTACTTGCCAGGCAAGCCCTTATTCTATTGAGCCATCTCCCCAGCCCTGATCAAACTATTAAGAAATACATTTGATGGGAGTGTGGCACCAGAAAATAGATTTGATGTTGTCTAAATCAAGTGAGTTTTTTTTTTTTTGATAATTAGACATACTTTTCCTATTTTTATATATATATATAAAATATATATATATATAGGCACTGGCAGTGTAGCTCAGTGGTAGGGCATTTTTAGGCTCTGGATTTGATGCACCAGCACTACAGCCACACACACACACACACACACACACATCATTCAGCGCAGTGGATTGATAATTTCAAGTGTGGTTTGGATTTTAATTTTGTCTCTAATTCGCATATATAAGCTTATCCTTTAACTAAAAAGTGTGATCAGACTGGCTGTTTAAAGAGAAGGAAATAATACTTTTAGTTTGTTCTTTGTGATAGAGTCTTGCTGTGTAGTTCAGGTTCTCCTTGAACCCACTGTGGAGCCCAGGTTGACCTCGACCTCACAGTGGTCCGCCTGCCTCAGCCTCCCAAGTGCTGGGATTATAGGCATGTGCCACTATGCCCAGTTTATGTATTATAAGTACTTTTCAGTTTGTTCTGCTACAAAATATTTAACTCTTTGAAAGTTAAACTGAGAAATTTGAGGTCGGGAGTGTTAGTGTATATACCTGTGGTTCTAACAACTCTGGAGGCTGAGGTAGGAGGATCACAAGTTTATACACAGCTAGATCAAGGCAAGTTTGGGCAGCATAGCAAAACCTTGTCTCAGAAAACTTAAGTAGGGTGTGGTGGTACACGCATATAATCACGGTACTAGCCAGTACCTCATAGCTGGCTGTCTCAAAAAACAAACAAATTTTTAAAAACCCAAAAAACAAGCAAAAAGAAGACATTTGATAATCCAACGACCTTGACAAGGTAATAAGGTGAACCTTCTAAGTTGAAGGTTTAAATTGTCATTATATCAAAATCTTAAATTCTTAAAACCATTTCACTATTAAAACAGTGGTTTTGAGTTTTGTGTGCCCATTTCTTAAACGTTCATTGAAAAAGCATAGGAATATATTTGTTTTTATGATATTTGAGGTTTTTTTTTTTTTTTTTTTTTTTTGTGGCAGAACCAGGGATTGAACTCAGGCCCTTGTGCTTGCCAGGGAAGCGCTTTTCACTGAGCCATCTCCCTGGCCTATTTATTTATTTATTTATTTATTTATTTATTTATTTATTTATTTATGGTACCTAAGATCAAACTCAGGACCTTGCACTTGCCAGGCAGGTGCTTATGCCACTGAGCTATCTCCCCGACCGAGGTCTTTTTTTTGAGAGAGAATTTATAGGTTAAACTGGATCAGTCAGTTTTAAAAATAGAATAAAACACTCCATGCTATTTTACCATGTTGGAGGCTGTTGGTAGAGACACTCTTAAGTATTGAGTATTTGGAGGAAGGAGAGATCCTAGCCTGTCTGAGAAGAATGTTAACTTTTAATTTCTGTGATGTGGAATTTTATGAGTGATTGATTAATTTGGTATGTTGTCTTAATGTCTTTAGAGCTGAAGGAAAGTCTCTCCCGTATGGGATCTGATTTGAAGCAGGGCTTTATTAGCTCTCTGAAAAGTGCTTGGCAGACGCTGAATGAGTTTGCCCGGGCTCATACTTCTTCAACGCAGTTGCAAGAAGAATTGGAGAAAGTTGCCAATCAAATCAAAGAGGAAGAAGAAAAGCAAGTAGTTGAAGGTAAATTTGACATGTGAGGCATTTTCCAGTACAAGTGTTACATATGAACATAGCAATTGTAAATTACTTAATGATAATTTTCCTTTCTAGTCCTTTTTTGTGAAATTGTGTAAGTTCTTCCTATAAAGGAGAATCTTTAGATAGATTGTAATTTTCTTTTCCTTTTTAAATTTTTTTATTTTTGTATTTTAGGGAAGGGTCTACAAGGTGTTCTGGGTCTCACTACTAGATCAGACTCGTAGTGATTCTCCTGTTTACAGCCTCCCAAGAGCTGGGATTACAGGTGCGCGCCACCATGCCCAGTCTCAATTGCCCCCCTGGGGGCAGGGCCAGCATGATAGATTGTAATTTTATTTATTTTTTAGTTTTAGGTTTTTTTGCGGAACTGGGGATTGAACTCAGGCCCCAGTACTTGCCAGGCAAGTGCTTATTCCACTGAGCCATCTCCCCAGTAATTTTAGATACACTTTTTTTTTTTTTTTTTTGGCTGGCTCAGGATGCCTTCAGAGCAGGTTTAGTAAGGCTTGAGGATCTGGGGATCGAACCACAGCAACCTGAGCCTGACTGCTCTGTTTAAGCAGTCACTAAACAACTGAGCTAATGAGCAGGCCCCCAATTTTAGATACACTTTAAAATCTATGTAATCCTTCATTAACTGGTTTTTTTTTTTTTTTTCTTTCTGACAGTTACACAACTTTTTACTCTGCTATTTTTAAGTTTTGTTGTGATTCTTTCTTAGTGAAATATCGGAGTTGAGAATTAAGTTTATATTCAGGCAGGCATTTTAAAGATTTACTATAAAAAGTTACTGTTCTGATACTGTTTATCTGTGTCCTTGTAGACTTTATATGCCATGATGTTTTGACTTTCATGCTTTGTTTCCTTTCTTTCTACAATGCTCTCTCACCCCTTTTCTTTGTAACTTCTGTCAGCTGTTGGCTCTTTCTCCTCTCTCTCTCAGAGAACCAGTCCCTCTTCCCCTGTTCTTTGGAGGAATGGGGAGTGAGCCTGGTAGCTCCCTACTGGCTACGTGTGTCAAGCGATATTCTGATTGAGTCCAGAAAGTCAGCTAAAATCAATGGATAATGATTAAGTGATTGACTTTGCTATTGAAATGGTTTAAATTCTAGCAGAAAAGATTGTTGAAAGTCCAGATTTTTCCAAGGATGAGGACTTCTTAGGAAAGGTTGGGATGTTAAATGGAGGCCGCCGAATTGATTACGTTCTTCAAGAAAAGCCAATAGAGAGTTTTAATGAATATCTTTTCGCTCTTCAGAGTCATTTATGTTATTGGTGAGTATTCTTCACTTTCCTAATATTTGAGTGGGCTTTAGGTGTGAGTACATACAACATTCCATTTTTAATGATTCATCATTTGTTAGGACGTATTAATAATTTTAACTTCTATATATTTAAAAAGCATTATTTTTCCCTAAGGGTTTTTTTTTTTTTTTTTTTTTTTAATTCAAACTAAAGAAAGGGCATTTGTTTGCAATATGCATTTCTGATTTGTCATAATCTTTGTAAATCTGCATATAATTTAAAGTATCCACAAGATGGCAGTGTGTCATCTGCCTTTGACCAAGACTGCTTTTGTAGTTATGTCTTTCACAGTGGGAGTGGCAGAGACTTTGAAAAGGCATTCTTCTCTGTGTCTTTGTCACTAAGAACTGCAACACTACTTTGTTTATTGATCTGTATTTGTGCGGTGTATAAGAACAGCTCTGAGATCATAGTGCTCTGCCATTGTTTCTATTTTTTTAGTTTTTTTTAAAGACAGGATCTTGCCATGTAGTTCAGGCTGGGCTTGAACTCACTATGAAACCGGGCTGGCCTCAAACTCATGGCAATCCTCCTGCTTTAGCCTTCTGAGGGCAGGGCTGAGATTACAGGTGTGTCCCCCCCTATACTTAGCCTGTTCGCAGAGTTGAATAGAACAACAAAGTTGCATTTACTATCTTTGTACATAGAGGTTAGACATTTGTACTAAATGTCTTTTAAATAAATGTGCATTTTTTTGACAGGGAATCTGAAGATACTGCCTTACTACTACTTAAAGAAATTTATCGAACAATGAACATTAGTCCAGAGCAACCCCAGCATTGATCAGACTTCTCTTGTGTGAGTTTATTCTTGTCATAAGTATAAATACTCAGGGTTTGCATTCTGAAGTCTTTTGTACGGAGTTGATGTTGACTACAGTTTTCTGTTTTCTCTGAGGTATTTTTCTTAGTTGATGTTTAAATTCAGAAAAGAGACCAAAAGAGATGGAACTGCTTTGCAATGTGTATTTCTGACTTATTACCTTGTTTTGGAAATATTGTTGAATTTGAATTTCTTCATTTTAGTTTTTTTTCAGAATAGGTATTCCTAGGAATACCAGTTAGGAATTCATTTAGCTGTGGATCCTAGAACCTACTGCATAACACCTTAAACAAATAGAGGTTCATTTTCCTTCTGCAACAGGAAAGGGTTTCTCTGTTGAGTAATGCCCCTGAACACCCAGGCTGCTGGCATCTTTCTGTCTCCGTGTTGGCTCTTGCTGTTTCATGGTTACAAAATTCTTCTGTAATTCCATATATCATGACTGTATTCAGAGCATGAAGAAGGTAGGAGAAAGGGCAGTATTTATTATGCATATTCCTTTAAATTAGAAAAAGCAAAAGCTTGTCCAAAAGTTATCAGTGAGGCCTGTATAGAGGATTGTACAAATGATTGTAAAGGTGATACTGTTAGTGTAGCCAGTCCTCCTGGGGAGAAGGCATAGAGAAGGAGGTGAAGTCTGTGATGCAGATTGGCCATCATGCTGCCTAGTCATATTCTCCCCAGAGATACTAGATAGCTGTTTTCCTTACTCCTTAATGTTTTATTTTTTAAATATGTAATTTTTAGATTTTAAAGCCTTTGAAAGAGTGCAGTTATACAAAGTCTTAAACTCTAAATTGTAAAATAAAAGTCTAGCACGTTTTGGTTTTCTTATGGTTAATGGTAAATGGTTAATGATAAGTAAAGACTCCCTTCAACATGTACCTTCTCATTTTAGAGGAGTTAACCACTGGGCTTCCCTTAGGGTAACTTTTCAAAGCACATTCAAGCAAATGGTCATAGCGAGGGCATCACTGGTGATCTTGACTGAAGCTGTTTTGATGTTGTAGCAGGGGTCAAAGTGGCTGAGGGGAAGTGAATGATCACCTGGGAAGGAGGTTTGAGTGAAGGATAGTAGAAGTAAGGTCATGGGGGACCGTGATGTTAAGGTGTGTTTCAGTGGGAATGATTCACTGTTGAGGGTAATGTTGGAGGAAATGCTTAAAGTGGGGCTTGAGACATGAAGCCAGGGTAAAGCGGAGAGTTGAACCAGAGGGAAAAGTCGGGGTGCATCTTCTCTCATTTTGGAGGAGGGCAGAGGGTATGAATACAGATTCATAGTTTTCTTTCTGGAGTGTGTAAGGAAGTCATCAGATGAGAGTAGGAGGTCATGTGGGGCACGTGGAGAGAGAGGAGCCAAGTAATGGAAAGGGGATTTACCAGCCAAGTGTAATAGGAGTACATTGCAGGCTTGAATAGCCATGTGACGTTCTGATAGTAACTTTGAAGTGAGTACAGTTGGCATGGTGCCTGATCTTTCTCTGGCCATATTCTTACTTGAGTGAACTTCAGAGTAAATAGATACTTGGATTTACCAGACTGGGATTTTTCCAGGTGAGGCAGGAAGAAAAGGCTAGAGTGGTAGAGGAGCTGAGGGATCCAAAAGGTGAGGGTGGGAGGCTTTGGTTAGAAAATGTTGTATGTGGTGTGGGGTTACTAAGGCTGTTTAGCTCATGGTCCTGTGTTGAGGTTGGTGTGTGCTGTTGTACTCTGAAACAAATGCTCTGGATACTTGAAAGCAATTTTTAAAAATAATCTTAAAATAATAGTGCTTCGTTCCAGCCTCATAGGAAATACTACAGAAGAGAATTAAACAGTAAAAATCACTCATAATCTTACTAACCAAACATGTTAGAAGTTAATCTTTTCACATTATTTTCCAAATCTATACATTTAAAAATTGATTGGTACTGGTGATTCAACCCAGGGCCTTCACAGTAAGCTATGACTCCAGCCCTTTTTTGTCTTCTATTTTGTCATAGGGTTTTGTTAAATCACTAAATTGCTCAAGCTGGGCTTGAATTGTTATCCTCCTGCTTTAGACTTCCACAATGCTGGGATTATAGGCACGTACCAACACACCCAGCTTGTTTACTATATTTTCCCATGTGCGTCTGCAGTATGTGAGTGGGGGATATGAACAGATCTTGTTTGTTTTTATGAATGGGTTATGCATACACTTGGTTCAATATTTTAAAGTGGTAGAGTGAAGGCTAGTACTTCTATACCTCTTCCTTAGCTTCCCTGCTCACAGGTAATGGATGATCCAAGTTTTGTGTATGCTTCTAGACATGTTTACACACACACACACACACACACACACACACACACTTCATTTCTAAAAGATAAGTGATATAAAATTTTTTGAATTATTTTTACCTGTGTGTCTTGGAGATTGTTTCATATCCATCCACCCGCCCATTCATGAGTCCATGAGTCCATGCTTCCATGCGTCCACTCATCTATCCATGCAGTATGCTTTTGAGTGCCTAAGTAGCAGATACTGTTCTTGCTATTAGGGTTTACAGTACTGGACCAAAAGTGTCTTCCATCATGGGTCTGCCTTTTTCTTGGGAAGATAGACAGCAAAAAAACTGTTGATGTGAGGAGCACCTTCTCTGGTAGAGTATCACTTGAGCAAGTGAGCCAGGTAGAGAGAATCCATTGATTGTTGTACTCTTAATTTGTTTAAATAATCTATTGATGAAAATTAAGATTATTTGAATCTTGTATTAGTACCAATAATACTTCCATTACATTATTAGAATTATTGGTACATTATTAGGACAAACAGTTGCATTACATTGCATTTTATAGTTTTACTGTTTATCCCCATTGTTTAGTATTAGGTGATTTTACAGATTTTCATTATCATAGCATAATTCTGATGTGTACTTTTGCGTACTTCTTGCAATTCTCGATAAATTCTTAGAGGTAGCATTTTTAGATCTAAGAATATTGCACTTACTGGTTTTTGAGATGGCCTCATTATGTCATCTAGGCTGGCCTTGAACTAATGATCTTGCCTCAGTCTCCCCAGTGCATGTGCCACTGTGCCTGGGAGAACTTTTATTATATACTTTGAAAGATTTTTTTGATCCATACTTATGCATTCCAGAAAAGTTGTTGAATTTTTATGTCATCATTGTGTAAGTGCCTGTTTTTCTGTACCCTAGCTTCCACTGGCTACCACTACTGTACTTTTATTTTTTTATTTTATTTTATTTTATTTTTTTTTACTACTGTACTTTTAAATGTTGCGTACTTTTAAATGTTGCCTATTTGGTAGTAAAAAATTCCTGGATGTTTCTTGATAGCTTCTATCAACTTATCTATTCTATTTCATTTCAAGTTGTATATTTTTCACATTTTAGCCTAAGCTTGCAGTGGTTTTACTGTCAGCTGTTGGCTGGAGGTTGAGTTTCAGAGAACAAGCATTGCTTCCTCTGAACACTGGAGGGCACTACCCACTTGAGTCTGCTTAAGCTCATGTCTCTGCTGGATGTTCTTGGACTGTGCTGGGAATGTGAACTCAGACCACAAAATGTACAGGCCGAGTGGGCTGTGTGTTCCATTCAGTTGTCATGAATTTTTTTCTCTCTTTTCATTACCAACAAAGAGCTGTACAGGTTTCTTCCTCATCCTTTCTGGATGTAGGGGTTTTCCCTTACCCCTCAATAAACCTGCAGCCATTTCGACATCCTCGCTTCTTTGAGGATGGTCTTTGACTCTCTATGTGATCCCTTTTCTGGGCATCTTTCTTTACATGGAATATAAAAACAGTGGCTTGTGCTGTCATGTTTTAATAATTTTGGTTTTGTACTTTTTCATGTTTTGGCAATTATATCAAATTAATTTTGAAATAAGTTCCTGTGACTATCCCCCTCCCCCCCCCAAAAAAAAAAAAAAACAGTGGCAGACCTATGGGTTTGATGTTACCTAATTTTGATGTTACATAGTATGAAAAACTCAGGATCTTTTTATTTTACATGTGATTTAGTTTTCTGTAATAGTTTTGTTTTCCCTATACTTAATCTTGAAAATTTTGGTTAGAATATAAGCTTCTTCTTTTTTTTTTTTTAGTTTATTATTTTTTTATTTTATCAAGAAGCAAATATCAATAAGACAGTTTCAAAACTGATTAATAGGACAGTTTCAATAATTAATACATTGTGCATTGTTATCTTCTTAGTGGTTATCCGTAGTATAAGATGCAGACAGGATATCCTGTCCAAACACTATTAGTATAAATCTTTCTTCTCATTGAATTAAGTGAAAGTAGCTGTATATCGATCCTAACTATTCTGTATATACAGATACAAAATGGTCTTTCCTTTGTATCCCCTGAGAATATAAGCTTCTAATATAATACTAATACAAAATAATTAAAGATGTGATTGGTTCATTCTTAGATGAGTCTGGCTGAATTGTACTCTTAGGCTTTTTGAATTATTTTTTAAAAATTAGTCTGGCAGATAATTAATTTAAAATTTTATCTTTTATTTCCCATACTTGCTTTGTTACAGAGATTATCGGGTTCTTTAATCTCACTGAATGAATCCTGGTACATTCTCATCCCAGAAAGTTTTCTGCTCACATGGTGCAGTAAGGTTGAACACTTTACTGAAATAGTACTGTATTATTATATTACCTCTGTAAGTTTATGAAGTTTACTGTGATTTTTTTTTTTTCTTTTTAAGACTTGGCTTCACAGAAAGTGCTGGTATGAATTACATCAGTGGAAGAATCCTCAGAGGATGTTCCCAGTTTGCTCTTGTGGTGGATGACAAGAAAGTAATTCATCAACAGTTGCCAGATACAGGGAATCATTTAAAGGAAAAAACACAGCAAAAGACGATTAAAAAATCAGTACCATGTTTGGACAGTGTCAATGAGAAGATACAATTATAAAAATAATGCTATGAAAATTCTTCAGATTTGGTTTGGTTGTGTAGTTGTCAAAGTTAAGTTTGACCTCAATGAAGAAAATACCTGTAGCATGCAACAGTTGCTTCTGTTTCTTAAGAACTCTTGTCAGTGGACTATTCAACTTTTTTTTAAATTAATGCAGTGTGTTCTTATTCCTGTATAGATTTCTAGAGAAGCTATTATAATTTTTTGAAACTTGCATTGTACTTTAAATGTGAATTATAGTGCTGAGCTCCCTTGATGTGGTCATTTCTGTTTGTGAAGAGGAAGGAGCTAAGATCACTTAAGTTCCAAGCTGCATCTGAGGTTTTATAAAGCCTTAGCACCGCTGCTGAGAGCCCAGATGTGGAGGGAGGTGATGTGCTCCTTCCTTTCCAGGATCCCATGAAGAGCTCTCCTAGCATGTCCACCTCCACCAGGAGAAGGAGCACTTTATAGGTTTTATTTTGTTACCTAACGTGGTTGTGCAGTTGGCTTGTTGCTGATGATCCAGTTAATGCGAGAACCAAAATAGAGATTTTGTTTTTGGTTTGCATTAATTTCATTTATACCAAAGTGCTTGAAAGTAGGAAGTGTACTTTTTCTAGACTATAAAGCTCCTTCATGAAAAGACTGCTCTGTAGTATTTCACTTTGTTTTACTATAAATTCAAATCTCAATATTTTCCTAATACTACATGGGAATTCTGATTTTCTTTTGTTACATAGCAGAAACATTTTACATTGTTTATATAGTTCTCATGAAACATGGAATTTTTTGAAAGCAACATACTATATATATATTCATTTCTTGTGTATATATTCTAGTTTGTGTGAATAAAATAGTAAATCAATGCATTTGTGAAGTAACAAACTTCTGTATTCCTCATGTCTTCCTTGAAAGTATTTCTGTGAATTAAGTGTTCATTCCCCTTTCATTGTGAGTAGCTGCCTTGTAGTTCGCATTTGCTACTAATAGTAGCACATGAAGATTTTAGAGCCGCAGTTGATCCCAGGTAACATATATTTGAACCACCTCATTTTGTGGCTAGGGACACATTACCAAAGGCCTTTTCCAGACTGGTAAATAGTAGATTGGGCCTGGAAGATGATTTTCTTGACTCTTTTGGTCTTCATTATAGCAGAACAACTATTTTTTACTTCATTTCTCCCATGCTAATGAAATGATAAAAAATGATGGTTACTATGTATATTTTAATAAACTCTAGTTTGATTTTTCAACTCACAGTGAGTTTTGTTTGTGCAATTCTGCCTGTGTCTTCTGAGTAAGGGGCAGTGGAGAAGGGAGACTTGGACCAATGTTCATGAAGAAATATATCGCAGCTGAATGATTGGATTCCTGCCATTTCATTTTAATAATTGAGTAAAAATAAAATAGAACTTTTTGGTGACTGCCTGTGAATATATTAATCTATCACCATTGAGTTCTTTTTTTTTCTTGCATTATTAGGGAGTGAATCCAGGCTACACACCCAACCCTTTTTATTTTTTATTATGAGTAGGATCTTGCTAAGTTGCCCAGACTATCCTCAAACTTGGAGTTCTATCTCAGCTTTCTGAATATCTGGGCAACTTAAGGAAACACCAGTTTAGGGAGACCTTGTTTCAGAATTAGTAGGCCTGGGGATGTATCTTGGTGCAGAGGCTGTGGGTTCTATTTTCTGTGTTGCAAAATGATGACAAACCAACCAAATGCTCTCCCAGTATGTCCCCTGGGGGCATAGCCTATATTGATACCCTGTTCATTGCTGTCACTCCCACCACGCCTAGCTGTCTTGCCACAGAGTAAGTCACTTGCTAAGTATTTGTTGAATAAGGGAGTTTAAAAAGTTAAAACCACAATGCCACTGGGCTGGGGATATAGTTCAGCAGTATAGTGTTTGCCTGAGTTCAATTCCCAGCAATCCTCCTCCCGCAAAACAAAACAAAACAAAACAAAACAAAACAAAACAAAACAACACCTAAAATTGTTTCTAAAAGTTAAAACCATTGTTTAATACTTGGAAGAAACCTTGGAGAACCATGTAGATTCTAACCATTGTAAATTGGTGGTTTACCAATTTTTAAAAAGCATCAGAACCCTTTCTCAAATGCAGGTATTTACAAATTTCAGAAATTTGAGCCCATAAATGAGAGTGCAGCTACTGAGTAAAGCTTGACTTTCTCTTTACCCTGGAGTAGTTCATCTCCTGGAAATCCTCAGCCACAGTCTCTAATCTGGATTAATCCCCTCATCTTCCCTAGTGAGAAAACTCAAGAGTAGTTGTTCTGGAAGTATTTTCATGTGTAGAATTTGTGACAAAAAAATTAAAATCATCTTCTGATTCTTTTACATCTCAGGCCTGCCCAGTTATGCTAAGAGGTGTACAGTAATAAGACATGCCTTTCCAAGTCCGCCAGACACAGTTGCTGCTTCAATCCAGCCAGATATTTGTGATGATTAAAACCAGAATATGACTAAAAAATGGGAAACAACACTGATCAGTTTAGTAATTTTTGAGGTACGTATGTTACTTGAAAAGTGTGATTCACATGGACTGTAATGAAAACTAGAAAATGGATGTACATTACTAACTGGCAGGGTGATCATATATTTGAAATTGTAAAGTATTCATTAGAAGAGTACTGAAGATTAGGACCTTCCAGAAAAGCCAGGAGTGGTTGGTGTTTGCAGTCCTATGACCATTTCAGGCCTCTGCCCTAGTCTTGTGCCTTAGTGTTTGCCAAGCGCTTATCTGTAGAAATTTGGTTGCCCTTATAAATTTTGCCACTTGAGAGGAAAGTGAATTGAACTGCAGACTGAGTGGCTTTATTCTAAGTTACGGTTTTCCTTGTTAAGTTAGCCTTCTGACTGAGAATGAGTCCCTCAGATACCAAGTTTGCTAATGTGTTCTTGCTGTTGGCTACCTCCCTGCAGTACATAGGATGGGTTTTCGGCTGACTTGTGTCCTCTGTGTCTGTGGTACTTTCAGCACTAGGTTATCATTCATGGCTTGGTATTTTGTCTTGTGTATTGAGCTTACCCAAAACTTCATGGCTTAGTAAAGACATCTGCTATCACCTGCCCTTATTTGTTGCAAGTTCTGCCTTTTAGCTATGAATCTTTGTTCATGCTTTTTCCTAACTTCTCAGCAAAGTGTTTTTATTATATTTGTTTTTGTCATTTTTCTCTATTGTGAAAATCTTTTAAGTTCTTAGAGGAAAATACATCTAGTGGTGCCCAGCATGTGGTAAGCACTTAACACATTAGTTACCTATTGCTGTTACTTTTTTGTTGTCACTTTTCTTTTGCTATGAGCATTCAGGTGCTTGGACGACCTACATCTTCATTGCCAGGTCACTGTCACTTCCTGTCCCTCTGGGTGGTGCTTTGGCAAAGTTTTTGATAGTTGAATGCTGCCAGAGGGAGGTGTATTCTCTTCAGAGGTCTGTGAGGAATGTGGGACTGAAGGTCTGTAGGTGTGTGTAGCGTGCAAGCCTGGGGAGGTACAGTTAGGAGAAGGAGTTGGACCCAGGTGGAGTGGTTGGGAAGAGGTGAGCAGTGATGATGGTTATTTGCCTGTCTTGCTGCAGGTTGATGGGGTTCATACACAGTACCTGTGGAGAGTATCAGTGTGCGTAGTTCTCTACACTGATTTTGAGACAAATATCAAGAAAGTACTCATTTTCCTAAGCTCCTCTAATACTTTTTTTCATTCATATCTTTTCATTATGGTCACCATCTTTAGTTATCTGAGAAATTATATATGATTTCATTTTTTCTAGAGCTTTATTCATATGCTTTGTTATTCTGCTGTTACCACTTTTATGTATTCCAGAAGAGTGGGTTTTGAATAGTTCTACCTCATTGCCTCCTGGGATTGCCTTTGATGAGCTTGAAGTCTGGGATTGCATCTTGCTTAGGTGTCTTATCATTTTCTATTTTGTTTTTGTTTAATTTCTGAGTTGATGTTTGTGATTTGCTTATGGCTGGTAGCTTTGTTGCTATTCTTTAGAGCCCTTTGGAAATGACTACTTCTCAGAGATGTCTTTCAGGTATAGCTGTGTTTTGTGTTTTGAGTCTGTTGCAAGATCCTACCTCTTCAATTTATTAGGGGTGAGAAGTTGCTGCCCATTTGGCCTAGCCTGTCATTTTTGGCACTGGCCTGTAGTATTGTTTATGACCTTTAGGCAATCTCAGTCTTGGCGTACCAGGAAGAACAACTGATTAGAACAATTGTAGTCAGTGTTTGCAAGGGAATAGATTTAATACAGGACACAATTACAAGGTTATTTTATAATATTTATTCAGAAAGTTAAATGCAGAGAAGTGCAAGATATCTGTCCACATGCTAGAGACACAAAGAATCCAGCTGACTGCCTGGATCCCGTGGCAGTGTCCTGCATGAGTCCATCTGAAGACCTAGAGCCCATGGCTATGTCCTCCATGAGTCCAGCTAGAGGCTTAGAGTCCACAGCATTTTCTCACAGAAGTCTATATCAAAGATCTGCCTTGGAAAGGCCTGCAGGTCAGTTTTGGAAGCTAGAGTGTCTTCACCAACATGGTGAAGGATCTTTACCAGCTGGCTGAGGGATCAGTTCTGGTGCCAGGAAGTGATGCTCCAGGTAAGGACCAGAGTTCCCTCCCAAAAACAGCAGCTGTTCTCAGTGAAAGCGATGACCTGAGTTCCTTTGATGATGAGGACAGCTAAGTTCATATCTGGAAAATCAGCATGGCAGGCTTGTCCAGCAGCAGCGTATCATCTTTGCCTCCAGTTCTCTATTCTGTTGACAGCAATCCTCAGGTGGATCTTCCACGCCCAAAACTATGCTGACCCAATTCAGTTAAAACCAAGTTGACCTTTAGTTAATCGACAATAGTTGCATCATTTGGCTAATGTAATACAATCAGCAATAATGATAGCATCAAACAGCCTAGAAAGTGACAACCTGTAGTTAACTATTTACCACTTTTAACCGTATGAACTAGATTTGTGGTTGTATAAAATCTAAAACCAGAAAATCACATACTGTGAGTATGCCCTCGGTATGGTGATTATACCTTCATGGAAGAAAAGTTAAAAGGGATTGGGGGGAAAATAGAGTTTATAGAAGCAAAGATGTAGGACAAAAGAAGATTATACAAACTTTGGGAAACTGTTGAAGACCAGAAAGAGAAAAGGAAGAAAGAACAGAGCAACAACAATAAAAAACTACACTGTTGGGGACTACAAATTATAAATTGAGTGTAGAGGATGTCGAAGGCTGTCCTTGTCCTGCCCTTTGAGCCAGACTGCAATGAAGAAACCTTCTCTGCAATGAGGAAACGCCCACTTACTTCAGGTCACAGCTGAAGCCTGATGGCTGGTGATGCTGTGGTACTCACAGGGCAAGATAAGACCTGCTGAGGATGGCGAGGATCTTACAGCAATATAGTAGCCATAGTAAAGTAAACTTTTCTTCTGGGGAAACTGCAGCTTCCGTATTGTCCCTTATTCTTGCGAGAATGCTTTGTCCCCTCTTGTACAAGCCCAGCCTGCCTCACCACTTACCTAGCACCTCCAGCTGCAATCCCTTCACGATTTCCCTCTGTGAATGTGATCTATAAATACCGAGGTTCTGCTTGTCTCGTGGCCTCTTGTTCCTCATGCTCTAGCCCTGAATGTGTGCTTGAGCTCCTGCTCAGCCAGTCCCCATACTCTGAGGGAGGCACACAGAAAGTCATTTTGTCTTTTATCTTGAAGCCTGGCCTCCAACAGATAAGGCTCCAGCTGCAATTGTAATGTTTTTGTCTTCTGTATTGACGCCCTTGAGGGCCTAGCCCTGTCTGACTGCCTATAATATTTCTACTTAACTTTACTGACTATAATAAAGCCACAAAAGCCATTCATTTGGAGAGACCAACTTACCACTTTAAATGATTTCCCCAAAATACTGGGTGATATTAATTGGCTCTGTCGTAGTTAGGGATTCCTATATACCAACTGACACACCTGTATAATATTCTTCAGGGTGATCCTGATTTGTCTTCTCATACGTTAACCCTGAAAGTTGAGGAATGGGACAAGTGAAACAAGTTATTAAACAATATTAACTAGATTGTATAGATCCACAATTTTCCAATTGAATCCACAATTCAGCTGTTTGTTTTTCCTACTGCCTAAAACCTACTGGACTTATTGGACAGTTGACTGCTACATTAAAAATTTTAGAAAGGCTCTTTTTGAGTCATGAAGGCCATAAAAACA